GTGGGCCACACAGTTCCACCGAAACAACTCCTAGGGTCCCTTATTCCTGGAGCAAGGGGTGCCCTCATGTTCCCCAGACATGAGGCCCATCCAAGTCCTCCTGGGTTGGTGAGGACCACTGGAATGCCCCCGAAACATCCCCTCCCCTTTCCCCCCAACAGCTGCTGGCTCAACGCCGCTGGCCTGCTGCCCCTCACCAGCTCCCAGCCCGGTTGGCACCTACCCACCAGGATGCTGGCAGTCCTGCCCTCTTCTCCCTCCTGCCCCCTGCTCCCAGCGCCCCATGCCAACTGTGGGCCTGGGGTGGGGGAGGGCCACCCCTGAGCCTTGGTGCCAGCCGGACGGGTCTAGTCCCCAGGTCCGACAGATAAGGCCCAAGACCCTGTTCTCCAGCCATCGCCTCTAGAGGCCCGGTGCAAGTCAGGGCCTACTCGAGGCCCCCAGCAGCCTGTGGATGGCCCCGTGAGCACTTACTGAAAGCTCCGTCCCTCAAGGTGGGTGCCAGCCTCCCAGCGTTCCCTCTGCCTAAGCATCTGCTTGGGCACCAAAGTCCCCGCAACTCCTGAGAGCCCTGGTGCCCCCAGCCGGCAAGGGAGTGGGGTGGGGCTGCTCTCTGCCCTTTGATCCCCATAAAGGCAGGGAACCAGCCTGGAGGGCAGGGGGCAGGGAAGGGGTTCATGGGGCCCCTCAGTGTTATCCCTGCCAGGGGCAGCAGCCAGGGTGGGGCATCTCTTGGGTGGGGTGCGAAGGTAAGAATGGCAGCATGTCCCAGCAGAGGAGGGAGGTTAGTCGTGGGTACGTGGTGTTACGTGGGCACAGGACGGCGAGAACAGGGTGGAGCGGGGTGGGTGGGATGCAGAGAGCACCCATGTCCCAATTCACCCCAGTTCTGGCTTTTACTCCCATCTAGCAACCCTTCCAGAATGCACCAAATTGAGAGCGTGAGGACTACAACTCCCAGGATGCACCACAGTTACTCTGCATGTACCTTGGGAGTTGTAGTTCCGAAGAGAAGTCCTGCATTCTCCTCCCCAGAGCCTTGCTGACCAGGTGAGGAGGGCAGAGCTGGGGATCTGGCCAGAAATCTCCTTTTTAGAAGAGGTAAAAGGCTAGGAGATCCGTGGTGGAGGGGAAGAGGACCCCTTCTCCCAGGCAAAGGGGAGGAAAGGAGGAAGGAAGGAGGAGAGGATGTCTGTTGAAAGGGGCATATGGGTGGGGAGGAGTTGGGGGGGGAGGATGGAAACAGGAAGGAAACCGAAGCCAGAGACATGAGGTCGAACGCAGAGGCCTGGTAGCGCCTCGCTCCGAAGCCTGGCAGGGACTGGGATGGCATAAGAGGAATTAGGGATACCAACTGGTAGCAAACTGGTGTGTTCGTGGGGGGCTCACTGGGTCCATCTGCCCGCCACAAGCCCTCTTTTGCCTGGGGCACCCCCACCCCTGGATCCCACACAGGTGTTTGCTCGCTGCGGAACTCTGAAGGCTGACTTGATTCTAGGATGCTCGCAGGCAGGGGAAGAGGCTGGGGGAGTCAGGGCCAGGTCCGATGCAGAGTTCGGGGGAAGGAGCTAGGTGTGGGGTTAGGCCCAGGTGTGAGTCCAAGGAATCATGCTGGCAAATGAGGGTGCGACCTTCCATGGCAGCTGGGGGGCCTCAGTGCAGAGGGGCCTACGTTACCGAGGCCACAGCCTCCCACCCACCTCAACTACAGGGTGCAGTGGAGAGGGCAGCCCTCTTCGGTCTCCCCGTGGAATTTGCTAAAGGTAGCTATCCCTCTGGGCCAGGCAGCCTGTGAACATCAGAGGCGGCAATGCAAGGGGCCAGATGGCGGCTGGGTGCCTTTCCTTAGTGGGGGTGGAGGTCACAAGTGGGGAGAGGCTCTGTTTCGAGGCCACTTTCCCCGGGTTCCCCAAGGCTCTGAGACACATTCTTACAGGCCCCAGCTAAGATTCTTGCCAAGACCTGAGTGTTGCTGGTTGGGTGGGGGTGGGGGGCCTTCCTTGCCCCTCCAAAGCCCCTGATAGTGGACTACAGTAGCTCTAACCCCTTCCCCCCAGTCCCCCAGGCCCGTCTTGGCGCTTGGCCGCCTGTGTGTTGGCAGGACTGGGGGTGGGGGGGTAGCAAGGCAACTTCAAACTGTCCGGGCAAAACGTCAAGTTTACTCACGAGTTTACTCAGCAGAAGGAGGGGGGAAGAGGCTAGAGCGGGCACACCCCATGCCAGGGTCCTATCCGTCTCCTGTCCCCACCTTCCTCCCCCCACTCTCCTCTTCAGCCCTAGGCCAAAACAGCCACAGGCCCCAAGGCCTGGTGGCAGGGCAGTCTCAACTCTCAGAAGGTCACAGAACCAAGCAGGCCAGAGGCAGGAAGCCCCGAAGCAGGTCTGGAGGCCCCTATTAGAGGGCAGTGCCCTGCCTGGAGCCCATTTACTACCCATCGTAGGGCCTTGGCTTTGGACCAGAACTGGTCTCTCAGCCACCAAGAAGGGGGCAGTACCAGGCCAGGCTTCCTCCATGTGAGCAGTCCCCTGGGCAGTGACTTCTGACCCCAAATGACGGGTCCCAGGCAGTGCCTCAGGCAGCATGGTGCCACCTGGGAGGCTGTAGGAGCAGGGGCTGGCCCTCTCGGCCTCGGCCTGGAATGGGGGGCCAGCACCCTATCTGACCTACTTCCCCTTCCTCCCCACCCGCTTTCATTCTCTGCTTCTCTCCCCCAGCCTTCACCGTCCCCACGGAGGCGCGTCCCCACGGAGGCGCGTCCCCACCGAGGCGCTCCGCCCCCCATGCGCGCTGGGCCCCTCCCCCACCCTTCCCCAGGGTGCCAAGCGCAAGCACACAAAGGGCCGATGGTGCATTGTTAGCCCAGCCCCGCTGCCCACCGCGCCCTCCCGGGGCGGGCACTAGGCCAAGGAGGAGCTGGGGGCCCTGGGTGCCAGGGGGCACCGCGGGGAAGGGGGACGAGGTCAACACCTGTCTCCCGGACACTGGGTCCATATCTGCCAGAGCTGTGTGGTGATGAGAGGGCCCCAATGGAGCAGGCCTCTGTCCCTGACACCTGAGCCTGGTGGGCACTGCCTTCCTCCTTCCCCAGAGCCCCTTTCGGGTGACAGTGACCCCTTTCTGACCCCTGTGCTGAGGCTGGGGGGTGTGGTACCCGAGGGAGGGGACAGTGTCTGGGGGTGCCAGCAGACTGCTCCGTGCCCGCAGCAACCATGGCACGGAGGCTCGCTGGGGGGCAAGGGCCCCGGGGGCCGCGGCAGGAGACAGTGACAGAGATTTCTTCATGTTTCATCAGCTGCTCCAGGGGGAGCCCCTGCCCTTCTCCCCAGTCACCACTGACGACCAGGAACAGTAACTGCCACCCAAACTCAGTCACAAATACATCCCTCTCCGGGCCTGCACAACGCTCCTTGTACCCGCTCTCCCCCCCCAGCCTGATGCCCACTCCATGCCAGCTCGGCCAGCAGTGCCAGGCAGGTACAGGGGTGACCAAACCAGTTGGTGTGTGTCTGGGGGGGGGGAGCAGGAGGCAACCCCACAGTCCTCCAGGCCTCCCCCGCACACACTATACCCGGGGAGCAGAGTCCCCATCCTGGTTTAACCCCTCACCGCTCAGTCTGGCTCCCCCAGCCCCCAGGAGCTGCCTCCCTTCTCAGGAATAAGCTGGGGGCAGGGGAACCGCTGCGCTGACTCACTCCCATTCCCAGCTGCAGCTGGGGGTCTGCAGGGCGTTCAGACGGGGGTCAGTTCAAGAACGCCCTCCACCTGGCCCGGAAGCCGGGACAGCCTGCTGGTCTCCCCCTCTCCTCAGCACCCACTTCCGGTGTCCCAAACTAGGTCAGCGGCGCTCGTTTCCTGTGGGTCAGCTAGCACCCGCGCCTCTGCCCCTCCCCTGCTCCGGACCCAGGCTCCCCGCCCCCCCCCGAGGGCGCCCCGAGGTCTCACCACGTCTCAGCCGCCCTTTGATACGTGGGGGTTGTGCGGGGCGGGGGGGCAGGGGACCCGCCCTCTCTCCAAACACCAGCAGGGCCGGGGCGCCTGGGCAGGCACGTGTCCGGGCACAACCCGCTGCCCACGCCGCCCCCCCCCCCCCCCTTCCCCCCCCCCCCGCTGTGGCCGGGACACGTCGCTCTCTTCCTCGGGGTGGGGTGGGAGGAGAGAGCGAAAGCTGGGAGTGGAAAGCGGCGCCCCCCACCCTTTTGAATGGCAGCCCTCTGCCAGCGGCGCTCCCAGTGGCTTCCACGACTACACAGTAGCGACCCCCACTCTGTGGAGGGGCAGGTGCGCGGGCGCGGGCGGGGGAGACGCGTGGGGGTAGAACTCCTCCCGGTCATCCACCCCCGCTCTCGGGTTCTGGGGGCACGAGCCGGCCCGGGGAGGGTGGCGACGGGACCGGCGCCCGAAGGAAGGGAGTGGGGCGGAGGGGTCGATCTGTGTCGCTCGGAGGTCGCCGCCGAGCCCCACTACTGGAGACGGAGCGCGGCTCCGGAGGCGCAGGAAACCGAATAGTCCAGCCGGTAACTTTCCCCCCAGCCGCGGCTCCTCCTGCGCTCCCCCCGCCCCCAGTGCCACTGGCCCGGGTCCAGCCCACCGCGCCAGGGGGCGCGGGGGGGGGGGGCCCCGCTTGTCCTAGTTAGAGTCCGTCAGCGTTTCCATTCCCTCAGCGCGGGCGGGTCGGGGGTCTCCCCGCAAGTCACGGCGGAGGCCGGGGCAGCGCTCGGCGCCGCCTCACCCCCTCTCCATCCCGAGGCCGCGGGGCTGTCTGATCCCAGAAGTGCAGAGAAAGTTTCTGGGGACCCTCCGCCCACCTTTCCTCGCGATTAAAATCCGTTCCAGAGACCCGGGGTGCCGGGAAGGCACGGGGAAGGGGAGTGGTGGGAGTCTGGTCAGCGTGCGTGTGTGTGTGCTTGGGGGGGTCCCACTTACAGGACAGACGAAGGACACTGCAGTAGTCTCGCGTCTGGGGGACCCCGAGCCGGAGACAAAAGTAGGGTACACTCACCTCTCCGCCTTTGGGTCCGCGGGCCGGAACTGCAGAAGCACAGGGTGTGGAGAGAAGCGCGTCCCCCGCCGGGCCCGGGGGCTTGGGGCCCTGCTCCGGTCCTGGTCAGAAGGCCGCGGTCAGTCGCTCGCCGCTCTCTGCTGGGGGGCTCCTCCTCCGCAGCCCTCGGCCTCCTCCTGCCGCCCGCCCCCCCCTCGGCCGCCGTGAACCGTACATTCACCTGGCTCCCACCGCCCCCCCCACAGGGCCCGCCTCACCTGTCCTGCTGTCTCACCTGTCCTCCCGCTGGCTTTCCCCCCATCCCTCCCCTCCCTCCCCCCGCCCCCTGCCACCCCCCAAACTCCCCCCCCAATCCTTAGCAACACCC